CCCCCTCGCCGGACCCGGATCCTAGACTCCGGCCCTGTCCCCGACCTTGAGCCCAACCTCGCCCCCGACCTCGGCCCTGACTACGCCGGGCCACGACCCTGACCCCGATTCCGCCCCCGCGCCACCAGGCTGAGCTGTGTGTCCAGTGCTGTCCACGCTGCCGATATGCAGTGTCCCCATAACTGACGTGAGAGCAGGAAGGTGTCCCCGCTGAGCGCAAGCCCGCCTCTGGGCGGGTCCTCATGAGTCCAGATTCGATTATACGACAAAGCACTGACATTTCAGCCAGAAACGGGGGTGGTACTAATACATTCTGTGCGTGTAACACCCAGCTCTGGACTCAACCCCCTAAAGCCTCATTAAGCAGCTAAATGCATTGGTTCTTAATATCTGGGGGGAGGGATCCTTGGAGAAAAATGCAGATGCACCAGATGCTGACCACCATTTCAAGGGTTTCTCAGATCTCTGACCCCCGCCTCCACCCCCAGCCCCTAAGTGTGTCCCCCATTTCCATTTTCCTCTCAGAAAAGCCTTCCCTGACTCCACTTTAAAGAAGCCCTTAAGCAGTGCTCTTCAAATTTATAAATATTTGAAATAAAATTATGTGGGTAAAACACACAAAAAGAATAAAAATAAAGAAGCCCTTCCCATGCACGTCACTGCATTTCAGAACCCCCATCTGTCTTTCTTCCCTGGACTCCTCACCATCTTGTTTGCTTCGTTGTTGTCTGTCTCTTCCCAGCAAGAATACGACTCCATGAGGGCAGGGGCCCTGCCCGTCTAGTTCACAGCTGTATCCCCATCACTTTAAACCTGTGCTGGGCGCTTTTCCATCTTGCAAGATGGCGGGTGAAAAGGCTGAGAAGCCAGATACTAAGGAGAAAAAACCTGCAGCCAAGAAGGCTGATGCTGGCGGCAAGGTTAAAAAGATGAAGCAGGGGGCTTCCCTGGTGGCGTAGTGGTTGAGAGTCCACCTGCCGATGTAGGGGACGCGGGTTCGTGCTCCGGTCCGCGAAGATCCCACGGGCCGCGGAGCGGCTGGGCCCGTGAGCCATGGCCGCTGAGCCTGCGCGTCTGGAGCCTGTGCTCCGCAACGGGAGAGGCCGCAACA